ATGATGCATGCAACCTGCACGTGGGACAGTGGCGCCAGGCAGAGAGGGGGAGGGGAGAGATGCAGACAGTGCGCGACGCGGTGGGCCCCGTCAATGGCCAGGAGCACGAGCTCTCGCACAACGCGCTCATGGACGACATCGCCAACATCCGCGCAGTGGTTTCGTCGGGGCCGCCCACGCAGGCGACTGGAGTTAGCGAACCAATCTCGGAGCACCAGTCGGCTCTGGGCGAAAACGAAGATATCTCGGTTCGACCGGGAGCACAGCGCCAGTCGGCTTTTGGCGAAAGCGAGGATATCTAGGATCGCCCAAGTGCCGAGGCGAGAAAGATAGCGCAGCGGATCAATGCCACCGCGCAGCGCCTCGAGCGCAAGCTGGAGAGAAGAGGGCGGCGCTTGAACCCGGCCAGAACCAACAATCTGGCACCAGTTCGAGGCACAGGACGAGACGGGGCCACGCGACAGCTACAAAGGGAGAAGAAGATCAAGGGCACGCCGATGAGGAAGATGAGAGCACTGGGGCCATGCCCACCAGAAGACCAAGGCTACGCGGGAGAGATCAGGAGGAGATGCGCGGCCACGCAGACAACTCACAGTCAATGGGGGCGTTTCTGGTATTATGATACCACCGACAAGATAAATAAGGATATGTTCCAGGCGTTCGTTTCGGGGGCAGGCCTGATCGGATTGGCGGCGCCTGTACTGGGGGAACGCCACCTGAAAGCGCTCGACAGGACTAAGGCGGTTTCATTGAGGAAACTGACCGGAGGCAGGACGAGCTGGACAGAAGAAGATAGCACGACAAGGTGCTACGCCAACAAGGAGGTGTTCAGGGTATGGAGGATGCCGCGTTGCTCAACTGCGCTGGGGATCCACAGGCTGCGATGGCATAGGCGATGGGCGAAATATCAAGGAGGGCGTTGGCGGTGCGTTGGCAGCAGTTTTTGGCGCGTCGAAGCCGGGCCGCCCCTGCGAAGCCAGGGGGGGGGGGGGAATGGGGGAGCGCGCGAAGCATCCACGCCCTGGGCGAAGCAGGTGGTCTGGGATTTCCAGGCGCTGGCGGAGGTCAGCGAGGACGTCGCAAGCGGGCACCCGCGGGGGCAATCGGATACCTCAACGTCCCAGACGAGCACGAGAGACTGGGGAGCTCGGATAGGGGCGGGCCCCAGGATTCGGCCCCATGCAGCACGGGCCTGGGATGCAAGGATACTCCAGATTTCGTAATGAAAGGGAGGGGGTCTGGACCCTCCAAGACAAGCCATTTCAGACCTCCCCCGTGGGAGAACCCTCCAAAACATCGTCCCCAGACCCCCCCGGGCCCTCCAAGATAGCCTGGAAGAGACCCCCCCCGAAATGAGACCCCCCTCCCTTTATTGCGAAATCTGGAGTACCAGAAATCACGGTGGGCGGTGAACTGGTCGCTCAGTTGCGGCGCGAGTTTAGGGGCTGGGGCAGCTGGGGCAGGCGCGCGGGGCGCCATTCACTGCGGCGGCGGCGCTGGCAGCGCGCTGGAGAGTGGCGCGCAACTGTGTTCCACTGACCCCCAGCTTGGATCAAAGCCCATGGTGCTCAAGCTCCTTCGCGCCCCAAACAAATAACGACCGACCGTGTCGCGAGGGCCGCGGGGGGCCACGGGGTTTGCTGCAAAAAACAGAATCTGCTGGAATTGCCCAGCCCAGCAGCCCCCCTCCCTAGTCTGCGCCCTCTGTGGCTTTCAGGCTCAATCTTTGGGAGATGTTCAGGCGCGCGCGCTGCCGCCGCCCTGGGCCGTGCTGCGTGGAAAATTGCGATTGCACCGCGGAGACTGCCCCCGCCCAAAAGAGGAGCAAGCGGAGATGGGAGGAGAACCGAAGCACCACGCGGGCGGTAAGGGCACCGGAAAATACCATGGACTATAGGAGGGACCAGCGCTGCGGCGGCGGGCAACCCGCCTGCGGCCGCGGCCGCGGCGGCGGGGGGGGGGCGGCAACGGCGGGCGGGGGAGGGCGCAGATCTCCCCTCCAGCAGCCATGCGCAGCGGAGGACTACGAGGAGTTCGGCCTCAGAGGCTGCATCAACGGGCCCCAGCGACTGGGCCTCCGCTCGGCAGCAGAGATCAGGAGGATGAACCACATGGCATCAGACTTCTTCCTCATGCCAATCAGCACTTGGGCGTTTCGGAAGTCGCTGACAGCGGGGCAGAACTGCGGTAACCAGGTCAGGGAGAGGGGCAAGGGGCGCACGCTGGGGCCACCAGGAGATGGCGTCGGATTGACAAGAAACAGACCCAACAGCAATGGCGGCGTCGATAGATCGGGCAATGGGCACTCTGAACGACTTCCTGAAGCTGGTGGGGGGCAACAGCGAGCTTAGCCAGGCCATGGTCACAGCGACGATCAAGATGCGCTCGGTCAGCGAGAGCCACCGAGCGCGCAACAACAAGAACAGAAACCCGGACGAGGGCGAGTGGGGGTCCTGGGGGGGGGGGGGGCTCAGGCAAGATCCAGATCGGCACCAACGAGTCTCCAAACTTCAGGGCAGTGCCCCCCGAAGGACATGGGCGAAGAAGCCATGGCGAAGCTGGGCCAGTTCGCGGGCCGCGACCTGAGGACGGCAGCGGCGGCGCTGCTCGTCTACGCTGCAGGCGAGAAGTCCCAGTCGGCAGCGCCCAAGTCGGAACTGGACAGGACGGGGCGGGAACAACGGCGTCGGGGCCGCTGAGGACGGAAGGGGCAGCTGCATTGGCGCGGCCATCTGGGACTGCAGAGACCCCAGGGCAGAGTTGCCAGGCCGAGGCTGTCGAGAACAAGCACCAACACTGCGCCTCCGACGGCGTCAGCATCGAGGACTGAGGGCGCCGCCCTAGCCCCCCCCCAGGGCAGTCGGGCATAGCTGGCGCGCCCAACAGCGCGCAGGCGAAGAAGAAGAAGAAGAGACACCTTTCAGATGATGAAAGACTAGTGGAGTCAATCAGCACGAACGTTGGGCGCCTCGCTAAACTTACACGTTTTGCCGAAGATGGCGGGGTGCGCGACGCTGCCCTAAAGTTTCGAGCACAACGGGCAGCGAAGTTGCATAGCGATGCCCTGGGGAAGAGCCCCGCTGGCAACAATCAGCCCACCCGTCCCCGTCAGTAGCCGACATCATCTACCATGGCGACACGATGCGTTTCTTCTTCCCTCTATCCATTGCAGATACGGAGAGACGGCGGGCGGGGCAATTTGCATACACTACAGCACGCGCGCAGCGCAGAGACGGGCCACGGTCAGCGGGGGGAGCTGTGGCCAGCATGCAAGGTGCTACGCGAGTACCGGGGCAATGGGAAATGCACGACCACCCCCATCGGTCATCTTGGAATCCCACAGCTGATCTGGCTCAACGACGGCCTGGGCGCGCGGTGTTGCGCGCTAGCTGGGTTTCTCGGAGCGCGCGACACGGGGGGGCCACCCGTGGCCTTCGCGGGCAGCAGCCAGCTGTGGCCCTGCGGGCGTTGCAACAGGGGGCTCGGGCACTACGAGATAATCGAGAGCCGCAGGGAGCACGCAAGACATGAACCTGGCCATGGAAAAGATAAAGGAGGCTAAGGCAGCCAATGGAAGGGAGTGCGCGTCGGCTGTGAGCTGGAGCTGAGGCAGGAGGAGTGGAACGAATGGAGCGATGAAGAAAAGACGCCTCATGGAGGAGATCAGTGTCTTTCGAGAGAGCAGGTCTGCCGAACACAGAAAAGCAAAGCAAAAGGAGCTGCGTGGGCAGCCCAATCATTGGGACAGATAAAGCAGCGCAAGCGCCCCTGGCGGGATAAGAAGGCCCGAAGAAAAAAGTCTTGCAATGTAGCGAACAAGTTGGCCCTGGAACAGTCAGGGGAGATGGCAATGGCACTGCTGGGTGGCGTCAAAATGGAGGCATCACGCCGACCCTGCTGGATGGTACCGGGATCTTCGAGGAAAAGTTCGCCTACCCCAAGTCAGATGAGACGACGACGGCCAGCTCCTCCAGCGGCCACCAGTGAAAGCACCCACTGGAACCAACTGGCAAGCCAAGAGATGCATTAGCGAGGTTTTCTCGGAGTGCTACTCTGGGCAAACTGGACGAGTAAACTGGCAAAGCCAAGCGATGCATTATCGAGGTTATCTCGGAGTGCTACTCTAGGCACACAGGACGGGCAAGCACAGAGCGCTCGCACTGACACCGCCATGGGAAGCGTTTTTTTGGAGTGCCAACGGGTGCACCACTGCAGGGTGATGAACGGGGGGAGAAACGTGATCATCACGAAGGCCACCATAATGCATCATCGATGGCCCCACATACAACATAACGTGACTACCAGTATGTTCTACCCCACGTACACTTCGAGGGGGAAGAGTGGGATACTTCAACAGGGTATCAGAGTACAGATACGACAATGCATGGGACAACTATCCGCCAGTTCGATGTGGAAGAGAAGTGGCCCGAGCGAGAGAGGAGATAATCCAATATGATATAGCTGATTCAGTAGGGTAATCAGGCCCCCCAACCAAAGTTTGGGAAGCACGGGCCTCCCGTCCCTATCCCCTCCTCCTTTTGAGCTGTCGTGTCGTCGTCTCCCCCCCCCCCCTAGCTTGGGCGCGCTGCTAAGCCCGCGCGCCCCCACCCCTTGGGCGCGCGGAAGGGCCAGCAGCTCCTCTCCCCCCGCACTGACCCGCAGGGACTCGTCATCGCAAGGGTGGCGAGCCTCTCTTACGGGGCCACCTCGGAGCCCACTCCTTGAGCAACGGGGTGTGCCCCCCTGCCAGCCCTAGTGAGAAGGCAGGGCCGTTGCACAACCAATCACAGGGGATTTTGCCAGAAGCGCGCAAGGCACCAGCGTAAGTGCTTTGACGTTGAAGCCCTTCATGCGGATGTCCTGTCCTGTCCTCCCTCCTCCTCCTCCTCCTCCTCCTCCTCCTCCTCCGCCTCCCCTCCTCCTCCTCCTCCTCCTCCTCCTCCTCCTCCTCCTCCTCCTCCTCCTCCTCCTCCTCCTCCTCCTCCTCCTCCTCCCCGGGCACTTGATGGTGCACATGCACAAGTCGTGCCAGAGCAGGGTGTAGCACAGGGAGCCGCCATGCCCTCCATCGAGGGTGCACCAAGGCGGCCGCTGCAGCGAACCCAACACCCGTGGGGTGTGTGCGCCCTCGGGGCGGCGCCGACGCCGACAATGACGACGACGCCGACACCAACGCCGACGACGACGACGCGACGAGAACGACGACGACGAGGATGAGGACAAGGACGACGAGGAGGACGGCGACGACGGCGATGACGACCACAACGACAACGACGACGAGGGCGACGTCGACGACAACGACGACGACGGCGGCGGCGACGGCAACGACGGGGTGGGGCTGATGTCGGGCCCGAGGCTCGACGGGCAGCAACTGGACTCGGCCAGGCAAAACTCGGCCAAGCTGACCTTGGCCAGTCTGAACCTGGCTGGGCTGAGCTCGGCTGGGCTGACCTCGGCCGGGCGGAGCTCGGCCAGGCTGCCTTCGGCCCGAGCCGAGTGCCGCCTGGCCGAAGTCAGCTGGCCGGGCTCGGCGCATTTCTTCCAGGCCGAGCCCGAGCCCGCGGAGTGGAGGAGGAGGCGGAGGAGGAGGAGGCGGAGGAGGAGGAGGAGGAGGAGAAGGAGGGGGAGGGGGACTGACGTCGGGCCCGCAGCCCGACGGGGGCGGCGTCGCTGGGGCCCGGCGGCGGCACGGGTCGTACCCTGCGGCGGCGGCACGGTCGCAGAACAACAAGGTGGCGCAAGCGAGTCGAGCGGAGGACTGCGCGAGCGGGAGGCTGATGACGCTGCGTTGCCGCCGCCGACAGTCCGACGCCGCCCCACCACAAGCTGAGAACTGGGAGGGGCTCAGGCCAAGACGAGTCCACGGGAAGCCCATCGCGAGACACCCCGCCCTGAAGATCGCCGACGCTTCTTGGGCAAGGGTCGGGTTTCGTGCTGGGCGGCTGTCGGCGAAGAAGCTTCAGGTATCCTGGGCCAGACGGTCTACCGATGGCTGGCGCAAAGCACCTCAGCGTCAAGACACTCTGGGTACCCTGCCGGCTGCAAGCCTTCAGTCAGAACGCAAATCGCAGACATCCAGGGTACCCTGGCAACACATATGGTGTTTCTTGGGATGGACCCCCAGTGTATTGTTGGCTGCGGCGGAGCATCTGTGACACCAACTGCCACTCACCCACCCCAACCCTTGCAGCCCCCCCCGCTGGCAGAAATATGGGGCATCCGTCGCCCTCGGACCACCGTGGCGGACTTCGTTTCTTAGCACGCCAGAAGTGGGTACGGTAACCAAGAAATTGGCACGATGCCCAACCACAAAGGTTGTTCAAAACCGAGGGCCGCCGCTGCTGGGCATTGTTGCATGTCGTAGGCGGCGCGCCCGGGGGGAAGTGAGAAGGGGCGGGCCCTCTCAGAGGGCTCGGAAGTCTGCCGGCATTCTGAGAAGCTCTGTGTGCCCTCCTTGGAGGCAGAAAGAACCTCTCAAAGGCAGGACGCCTTCTGAGAAGCCCCGCCGACTTCTGAGAAGGCCTTCTCCTTCTCCCTTCCCCTTGGGCGCGCCGCCGCGTTTGATTTTCGGGTCATAACTCGGGTCTCTGGCGGCCGTTCGGGACGATCCTGGCACCCCCAGCACGCTCTCGGCGAGGCGCAGCCGCTGGAACGCATCCCGAGGCTGGAGAACCGCCGAGAACCGACGAACACGTCAGCAAACGCCGAACCTCGAACCCGAAAACTCCCCCCCTCGCTCGCCGCCGGTGTGTCCCAAGTGGACGACGTCCGCGGCGACACCGACAGCGAATCCTCGGCGGCGAGCGAGGGGGGGAAGTGAGAAGGAGAAGGCCTTCTCAGACGGCGGCGGGACTTCTCAGAATGAAGGGGTCCCAGGACACACAAATAAATACACACAAATAAAACAAGTCCCCATATTTTCCCATATGTTCTGGGTTTCTGTCGTCCCCCCCACTTCCCATATTTTCTTATATTTTCTGGGAAATCGATGATTAATTGTGTCTGTGTGTGTTTTTTCCTCCTGAGAGAAGGAGAAGGCCTTCTCAGACGGCGGCGGGACTTCTCAGAAGCCCTCGCGCCTTCTGAACTGTTTTTGTCCGGCTTCGGCCCCGCTCTCGGCGTGCCAGCTCCGACGGCACCGACGTCTGGCCAGCCTGCGCCCGCATCGCCGCACGCGAGGAAGTCCACGCGACAGTGCGGTTCCACGCATCACCTGTGAGGAGGTACTCCAAAGTTCGTAACAAAAAGGGAGGGGGTCTGGACCCTCCAAGACAGGCCATTTCAGACCCCCCCCCGTGGGAGAACCCTCCAAAACATCGTCCCCAGACCCCCCCAGGCCCTCCAAGATAGCCTGGAAGAGACACCCCCCGAAATGAGACCCCCCTCCCTTTATTACAAAATCTGGAGTATCCTGCGAGAGCGCGAGTTTTTTGGGAGGCCTGGAAGTGGGCACCAACACCAGCACAGGGGGTTGCCTCCACAGGGGGAAGATATGATCCT